GAACACCTGAGCTCAAACAATCCGCCCGCCTCGGCCTCCCAGAGTGCTAGGATTACAGGCGTGAGCCACCGCGCCCGGCCTTACCCAACTTTTATACACAAAATCAACATGTTTTTAGTGAACACAAATAAAGCAAGTATTCCCTAGCCTATCGAACTCTTAAAAATACTGCGCTACCTCAACTTTGTATCTGATGAGCAAAAATAACTTCTAGAAGCCCTATATGACGAATGCCTACTTTCAGAGGCATTAGAACTAAAAAATAATAATAATCGTAAGTCTGAATATTTTAGCTTGAAAATTGGTAGATGACTTCCCTAAACAAGCAAGTACAATTGGTGTTAAACTGACTGAAAACTCAGGTGTCCTAAAGAATATTTCAAGAAATTCTTTGTAGCAATTTTCTCAGTTTGCCCACTTCTAAAGAAACAACAAAAAAAATTCACTGGTTCAAAAATATTTCAAAGAGTATAAATATTTTTTATTTATATGTGTCACTCTTTAGAAGATATTATTGGTATTTTCATAATTAAGAAAAAAACATTTTTGGAAAAAAACAACCAACTAAATACAATAAAAACTCAGATTCAACATGAAGTTTCTATGAATAGATTCATTCAGATATTCTAATATATGAATTAAGGATTATAAACTATGGTCCAAAACTCTGTGACCAATGATACCTAGTATTTACATATTGAGAACTATGTTCCTTAAAAGAAGATTTGAATATTTTCTTCAAATATGTGCATGCATGGTACGTAGGATTATAATTAAGGGACAGAAAAATTGATTTAGAAATATCTTTTTGTTTTTACTCATTGATTTATATAAGTTTGACATAAAACTCTAATTCTTGAAGTTACCAGTTGGGAAAGAAAATACTATGACAGTAATATGCATAATTTAATACATCTTACAACATGAGTAAGGATTTTAGATTTTATATTTTGAAAAAGACAATTATGTAGAGAAATTATGATGAACTTCTCTCTCAAATAACCGAATAATTCTTTTCAAAGTATTTTACTCTTTACACCAATGAGAATGTCATTAGTGTAGCAATCAAATACAAACTGCTCAATGAAGGACCTAAAACTGTATAAAGAAAAAACTCATTTAAAAATACCCTGATTTGTAATGTTTTACACAAATAACTCAGGGCCCATCTGATAAAAATGCACAAATACAAACCACAAAGACTCTTCTAGGGAAACTTATACAAAAAACACACAAACACTTTGAAAAATAAATCATCAATTACCTTCTACATCGTCCTCATGCTCTTCATCTTTATCATCATCTGGTCCATCACTTTTTGAATAAAATAGCAGTAGTTAAAAAAAACTTTAATTAATAATAGTATTAAAATCAATTCTAAAAAATATAGTAAGGAATGAATGTTACAATATGACATATGACATTTAGAAAAGGGAGAAATGACAATAAAAAAGGAAGCTTTGCTTCTCACATCATTTCATGTTAAAATCCAAATTGCAAATGATGTCTAAAGTTATCAAAACCAAGAAGTCCTACCTTACCATGATATATGGAGCCAAGTAATTTCATAATAAAATTTAATTTAAAATAATTTAAAGCTGAAACTCTACTAATTTGATTTTAGATAATATAGCATTTGAATATCATAGAATGCCATGAATAATTAAGTATTTAGTGATGCTTTGGCTGATGCCATTCATGTATATTTTTAACACAGTAAAAACACATTTTTTCCTACACTTTTCTTATATACAAAATAAACCTACATACAAAAACAAAACAAAAGAAACCAATAGAAATCCTGTAGGAAGCAAGCTCTTGAATGAAATAATTGGTAGCATGAAAAATAGCAAGCAGAACAACACATGCATAACAGTAACACATTTTGCAATTAGATGTCAGTCATCTCAGCATAGTTGAATTTTTTCATCGGATGTAAATTCATCAAGCAGAATCATGTCAAAATATAAGAGAAAAGCAGGTTGATACATACTGGCACTGTAACCCACATTCTTTTAAGAATATGACATCATGCATTAGTGGTGAAAGACGCATCCATTTTTAAGTTTCTAGACTGGACCAACCTGTCTGATGTTGGAAAGGATAAATTGTCCTCATACAAATCTCCTTCTAAACCAAGACTGCTCCAGCTACTGCTGTTACCATTACTGCTGGAGGAAGAAAAGAACAGAGCTGAACTAGAAAATGAATAGTAAAGACAACCTTCGTTTTCTTTGGAACAGCTTCTGTCCTTGATAACTGCAGATGTTCTGAAGCTGCCACAATGGAGTGGAGCTTCCATGGAGGTAAAGAGAGACCATCACTGCTACTCTAAAAGGTACTTGGCAGGTTCGGAGATTTGAGAGTTTTTCTTTGTCCTCAATAGATCATGAAAATTATTCTAAACTTACATTTATTTTACAGATTAAGAAAACAATGACAAATGAATGTATAAAGTAAGAAGTTTCACAATGAAACTAATGTCTTATGGCAGATCTTGGGATATAATTTGTAAAATGCAAACACTCTTCAGTTTGGATAAAGTTTTTAAAAAAACACCATAAGTTAACATTCTCTTAGGCCTTTTTAGATAGTGCAATACAGTGATAGGCTTGAGGCGGGGCAGTTTGCCGGGGAGAGATAGGATAGAGAGCGCTAAGACATAGTCCCAAAAAAACCTTTTCTAACTACTTGGAAAAAGGATGTTTTCTGATTTTAAAATACTATTATGTCAATTATTCATTTTATATATTATGTATAATTCAGTAGATGGCAAATAACATATTTTCTTCAGAATAAAGCAAGAATAACCAAGGCTTAATTAAGGCATTACACTTGTCTAGCTGGCCAGTCACTAATGCCACACACAGATAACTCCTTATACTACCTAATCAAAAGAAGAAGAAAGCAACTATATTCTGAAACTGCAGCAAAGCAATTTTTTAAAAAAGCAACCGTGTTCAAAAACAAAATTAAATTCAATTTTTAAGATTAAAATCTTCAACATGCAATTTTTAAAAATTCTAATCATTCCTAATTATTAAAAATCATTAGTATGCACATTAGTTCGCAGTGATAAGCAGCTGTATTTCCAATATTAGGCTATGCAATTATAAAAATTAATATTTACACAAACCAAATTTTTCGTTCTAAAAAATGAATTAACATAAAATCATTTTACATTCATCAGTAAATGTTGACATGGTTACCCAAAAAAAAATAATTATTTAAAGTTCTAAATAGCTTCCAAGCACTCACAAATAATTTACATATGCACATTAGTTCGCAGTGATAAGCAGCTGTATTTCCAATATTAGGCTATGCAATTATAAAAATTAATATTTACACAAACCAAATTTTTCGTT